TCATGCTGGAGGCTTCACCCTTGGAGGCAATGCCACTCTGTTGTACCATTACGGATAAGGAGATTTGTATGAATAGGATTGATTCTTTGGCTTCAAGCCGAACCGATTCTCGCATCATATCGACCATCCCGTGCATCAAAACATCAATACGGATCCTGGTTTCCTTGTACTTGCACTCCGGAAGGCAATCTGAAACACTTCTATACCACAGGTTTGGTACGGCATTGATAGCATGTAATCAAGTAAATTCTTGATATCCATCTCCATACATATTCTTCTCGTAATCTGTTTGATGGGAGAAACTCTATAAGTTGAAAGTGGCACTTCTCTGTGGTACCAAATGTCATCGGCCATAAGTGGGATGTGATTGCTTTTCGGTGTGAGTCAATCCACCTATATTTGAAGGCGACGCTACTTCCTTTCAACAGGCTTCTCTTGATGCTTTGGAACATTGAAAAGCATCGGCCCACTAAGTGGTCCAACATTTTCCTCAAGTATTTATCAACCATTGGGCCAAAAGTACTCGATCATGATTGCCCGAAAGGTATTCGGAAAAGCTGTGTGATGGTTTGTCATGGTTTCTCCCATAGCTTTATAAACTGGGCTGCCATCTTCGAGCATCCTCCTCTTCTTGATGTAATCGGTTTGATGCGGAAGAAGAACCCTTGGCATTGACTGCTTTTGAAATACTTTATTGCTCTTGTTTTTGAAAAAGACATCAAGCACTTCCGTTGGTATTGCTCACACGCTTGTAGCACTAAATCCTTGTAATTATCCGCAATTTCGCCATGCTTACATCCGAACATGATCATTGTTGATCTCGGATGCCATCTTGAACTAGCGAGATGGTCCCACCGAAGCGTGCCAAAAGTGTGTTGACACAAAAATGTGACCGTGCATGCGCTTTTACACAAAGAAGTCAAAAAGCGTGGCTTCAATCGGGTGCCGGGTGCTTCGTGATCCGAACGCGTGCGGTCGGTTTGACTCGAAAAACCGACAAGGGATAAAACGATTAAATGTCAAACCGGAACATGTCGGGTGAGACCCGCAACGATTCCGTGATATATACGACCACGAAGCCACTTACGACACATACGACTATAGGAAGTCATGCGCCAACAAGTTTATAAATCATTCGGCTAATCGTAGGTTGGACATACGTAAAGATCTGATTGCCGAATGCATATGCATGGAAGACATGTTTGAACAAGTGAAATTGATTATGCGTTAATGCATATCCAAGCTCAAACAATCCAAACCGAGTTGGGGTCCATGAAGAAGGAACGTGTAGATAAACACGATTAAGCCAATCTAAAAACTCAAATCACGCCGCACGACACCTAGTTTCGTCAAAAACTTAAACGTGATTAACATACATGAACCCACAACATGTGACAATCTAGATTAAAATAATTCAGCCATTACGAGCATGTTATCTATTTGCAAAGGTATTATGAAAGTAATGATCATTGAAGCTCGAATAAAACCATAGAAGAGGGCGAACAATATCAATCTAGATTGGGCAAAAGTGTGTTACAAATATATAAAATATTTAAAACATGCAAACACAGGATAACTTGATGAATCTATTTAGATTTTGCCGCAATCTAATAGAGCCGATAACATCTTGCTTCCACTAAGCATATTGAGCAAACGCACGCATACGGTATCTACTCATAAACAAAGTATAAGCAAAGACTTCTTGATTGTCAAGCAAAGATCCGCCCATACGATCATTGAAAACAAACAAGACTACTTGCATCACGTCTAAATCCACCGCATGATACTAAACATGATAACAAGGTTGCCGGAACTTACGGAGGTCGACGGATCGATGACTCCTCTCGAAGAACTCGGACGACACGACAAAAGGACTCGAAAGTTGGCACGGGGCGGTTGTATTGATTTGGTTGTGAACGCCTATTACAATGGTCGAGGGTCAATATTTATACCCTAGAGGCGAAACACGAGTCCTAAAAGACTACGATTTACAAAGGAACTCTTTAAATAAACTTGGAAACTACGATTCCTTGCCCCAAACTCGAGTCCTTTATTATTACAACTTTCATCTTCTCGATCGGCTTTGCTTGCCATCTTACGCTTCCCGAATGGAGTTACCGCCTTCGGAATAACCGACCCTTGACAAGCATTTAGCCGACCGCTATGCGTTATTTTTGCGAACACTCTTCTTCCCGCATGTGGGTCCACACTGTCATCTTCGAAATTGACCAAAATCCAGTGTTAACACCATCCAAAATGATGGGCAGTCATAAGTTAGTTGTTACTCTCTATCTTACTGACACAGATTTGTTTTTTCTCCACTGCTAATACCATGACTCATTTAGACAAGAAGGTTTTATCAGCATTATCGATGAACTGTACAACCATCATTGACATCTTATTTGTCTATCTGCCTAATCAATTGATGATCTTTTCCATGTAACTGAGGAAGGTCCTCTTTTTTTATTTGGAGAGAGGTAACCGATAACCCAATCCTGGTCATGTAAAGCCATTTTTTTCAAACACTATGGGCTGAAGATATGTCTCAATGAATTTTGATTTGATACATGCATATGCATGTTTTGCTTTGGGTTGCGGGGACATTGTTTCTCTCTTTTTCCCCTTCTTTTTATACATATCACTGTTCATTCCTTCTATTCTGTATTCTTTTGGTAGTATGTCTGTGCAGCTAGAGTTGAAAGGAATGATCTAATGATGTGTCTGATTTGGACCAATTAGATTAGATGTGACATTAGGCTAAAGAATGTTTTGGCACTATGCCGATGCTTACTACTAATAGCTGTTCATTCCTTCTATTCTGTATTCTTTTGGTAGTATGTCTGTGCAGCTAGAGTTGAAAGGAGTGATCTGATGATGTGTCTGATTTGGACCAATTAGATTACATGTGACATTAGGCTAAAGAATGTTTTGGCACTATGCCAATGCTTACTACTACTTGTTGTAAATCAAGATTTGTTGCATAATGTGTTTTCAGAGAGCTCATGCATATGAGACTTTGGAAAATCCAGAGCCTTAAATTTCTACTGTTACTTCAGGAAAGACAGCAAGCATGCAAGCTTGATTAGAGATCATTAATCAAGGCCTCCCACTACACTGACCTATAGGCTTTTTTAGATGCTGACAAGGTAAGATGAGTTTTCCTTGCAGACATATGGATGTTAGATTTGGGGTTTCGTGCCTGAAATTGTTAATGATAGTCATGTTCTGCTCATCCTAGCACATCACAGCACAAGGTGAAGCATAGCCGTTATCTACCTAGCGGGATCTTACTGAAGTGAAGAAAATAGAAAATCAGTCTTATGTGGAACTTTTGTCAGAACTGGAAAAGTTAAGACAAGTTCAGAGTTAGGGTATGTTGTATGCATTAGCAAGCAATTATTTTTTTTAGGTCAGTCTTATTGCCAAGTAATGTCATGATATCAGCATATATAATTGCACTGGTACCAAGTACCTAGAACGTGTTAGAGCTAAGTGTCTTATATATCTATTTCTTTCATGAGCTACGCTGGTTTGCCAGCATAGTGAAAGAAAATATGTTTCTTAACCTGTATCTGTATTTGTCCCAAGCCATTTTCCTTCTTGGGAGTCTTATAGAGAACTTTGAATTTCCTCACTTAACGCAAATTTGTTAGAGGTCGGAAGATTAACTTTCTTTGATACAATGCCATTTGCTGGTCAACCTAGATGGGATTATTCCTTAACGTAATGTATTTTTTGTTTTCTCGATTTTGTCCCATCTTTTTCTAACTTGTTGGAGCTACTGACCTTGCAGATGTAATTTTTAAAAAAAGGAAAACATGATAGACAAAATTTCTATTTGATGGTACATGTGAACCCATGGATTCAGCTAATTCAATATATAATGGATTTTCTTGTGGGTTCAATAATACGACCAGATCGATGCATACACAAGGAAATATTGGGATGAAGAAATATCCCAATGTTGCTCAAAACACCATGGTTTTATGCTCTTATTACATTGAATTCTTCCAGAACCTCTTCTCTTTGAACCTAGAGATTAAGGAAAATTTTTATACTTACTTTCCCATTTGTAATTATGAGTGATCTTGTTGATTCCATGTTGCTGTTTAGATTAATATAGATTGTCCATTATTATGTGCTTATGAACATGCCATAATATTTTTACTATTGTGTTGTTATCTGAGGTTTCACATACCAATCAGTACCTTGTGCTATACATATAAATCATTCTGTTTTTAATTGAGCTAAAAAATAGTTTGAGTATTTTGTTTCTTTGTAAATGCAATTTTAATCTTATTATTAGATGTGAAAAGTCTAATAAACTTATCTTGTTATTTCTGTGTAACATAAATTTTATTTTTGTTTACAGACACACTCGCACATGTATTATCTTATCAATTCTTTTCTATATTACATGTTGCGTTAACAAAATAAATTTGCAGATAAGGTCTCATATCCAACAATCTTAATTTTTAGTATAACTAAAGAATGTCACATGTTATTATAACGATAAACAGCCTGTTCGGTTGGCTGGTTCGTTTCGTTGCTGGTGCGTGAAGAAGTACTGCTGGCTGGTTTGTGTGAGAGAAAATACTATTCCGACTGAAAATTTACGATCGTTTACGACGAGCCACAGCCAAACGAACAGGCTGAAACACGTGCGTGTCGCACGTGTATGTTCACCCCGTAGCATGATACAAAGGACCTAAGACTGAATAAGAAAAACACCATACCATGAAAGTATTGTTCGACGAAGGTGCTATTGCTCTAGCTACTGCACCGTGCACAAAGCTGACAGTGGCCATTGCTCGTCAGTGAGCACCACAACCATTGAAAAGCCATCTCATACTACTCAAATGGTAAAGCCATCTCATACTACTTCAAATGGTAAATAAGTACAGTTAACGGGAACCCAACTGATATCAGAACCATGGAAATTACTACAGCATTCAGCTACACATCTCCCACAAAACTATCGTTTCCATTACTTTGGCAGGTCACTTGCGCACTTCAGCCTTCCTCTCTTCTTTGGCTGCCAACAGTAGCAAGTGTCAGCACGTAATGTGGAAGAGCGTTATGTAAGCTCATTAATAAGCATGAAGCAAAAGTTGTTCCTGTTTATTTTGATTTAACTTGAATAAAGCACGTGTAGTGACAAAGACAAGTCGTTGGCTTAATGGAAAAGCATGTCAGTGTAAAATTTCAACGGCAGCAGCAACTGGCAACGCAATCTTCCAACAAGATTAAATGTTAATAGGTGAAGGTAGCAAGAGACATACCAGCCTTTTCCTCTTCTCGCTTCTTCGCAGCTTCTGCTCTTTGTTGACGAATCAAAGTAAGGCGCTCTACATTTGCAAAAGGATAAGCAAAATCATCAGTGTTTTGCAAGTGATCAAGCAACACTGTAAGCAAACATTTGGTAAAATGTAAAGTAGCTTATATTTACATATTAGAAGCGAGAAACTATAAAATCAAAAAAAGGAAAGGCGGATGCGACGCATATAGAACTATTCCTACTGGGGGTACAGAAAGGATCATTAGGACTTCAAAGTGCAGCAAAATTGTATAACATGGCAGTTGGCAGTAAATGCATCAATGATCACCTACCGTGGTGCATTTATGCGAATAACAGAAATACGACCCAAGTCACCCAAAGTCCACAACTACGATATCTAATCTTAAGAACAAAACAATGTCTCACCTAAATCTTTCCTAGCCTGTTCTGTTTTTCCTTGCTCTTGACGCTTCATATGGCGCTCATGAGATTCCTGTTTTTCAAGCTCCTCTCTGCAATAAGAATACTTGTAAGAACAATGAAAATAAGGTCATAAAAACTGGGGGACTTCAAGAACAAATGATCTTTTCTCCCATTTATCTTTAGGAATACTATATATTACAAGTTAGAAATAATGATATGACAAGAGCAACTCCTGAAAAAATCTAAAAACATTGCGATTGTCTAATAATCTGTAGTGTAAATAGCCCACCTTTGGTGTCAGTGCTATTGGCAAATAATTTACCACTTTCTAATTCAATCATCATTATCAGCAAACAGTTTCGACAACAATATTCTTTCATGGTTTACAAACATTAGAAATATGATATTTACAAAACTGTATATGAAAACAAAGCAAACATAGCATGCAGTACAAGATGCACAATCAATTGACAGAAAGACAAGTGTATAAGCCCACCTTTCACGCCTGGAGATGTCAGTTGTCTTACCAATCTGTGACATTACAAAACTAGTCAGCTTATAGAAGTATTATGACGCGAAAATGATGAAATGTTAGCAACAGAAAAATGTTATGAAAGAACTATCCTAACAGGCAAAATGTTTAACTTTTTATTTAAAGCCACTACTAGCAGTAGCAGGTTCAGTAAGTACATGGAGTAAAACGATTTTAGCATGTTTTGCTGTATAAATGCATGTGTGTAACCCTTATTCCAACTCACCATATTTGTACAGCATCATACCTTTGCTTAATATATATAGTTCATGAGTAAATTTTCTTCTTAACAAAGCATATGCATACATGTCTAACAACATCATTGTCCATAGGAAAACATTGTATTATATTTGAGTGCATAGGAAACAAAGCACTAAGTATCCCACTTACATCAATGTCCTTGACCTTTATATTCTTTGATTTCACCAGGTTTGGATTCTCAATCTCGATCAGACCTTCTGTACCTTTGTGTTTCTGAGGACGGTAACAAAAGTAGATCATATGATCAAACAACAATGAAGACTTATGGAATTTGTATATTTCAAAATGATATAGTATCCTACTGGTTTCGCAAAATCTTCAGAGTCTTCTTCTTCTGGTTCCCCCCTTCTATTGTAGACATCCTTTTCATCATGCTATATTTTGATTGCAGAAACAAGCCAACCACCAAAATAAGCATCAGATATCATATAATATGCGTTTTGATTAAACAAAAGGCAGGCTAAGCTCATTTGTTTTAATCAGTTATGGACAGAATTAAACTACAGTAACGGATCAGAGCTTGGAACACAAGTTTCCTGTGCGAATTAAGCAAGTCATTTGTTCAATCACAAGTAAATTTTGTTGTCAAGTTCAGAGTCAGAGAGAAAGAGAAGCAACAATTGTTAACTGAACATCAAAATAAATTGTTGAAAGAAAAGGGTGGAAACCTTGTTAAAGGTTTGTTAACTGAACATCAAAATAAATTGTTGAAAGAAAAGGGTGGAGACCTTGTTAAAGGTCCTAGGACGGCCTGCTGAAGTACCAGCCTCTGCATTCAATTCCACATGAATCATATGAGATGAGAGATTGTAAAAAACAAAAGGCTCAGTTCGCTAGGCTGAAATATCAAATTAAGCATAACAAACTGTTTAATGTTTGTTCCACCAAGTTACTTTGTTCAGTAAGGAGCAGCAGCTAAGTTTGGTGTGCCAAACAACAAACTGTTCAACAGTGCCACCTCAATATCATCAAAATCGATAATGTGTTGAACATCTACTAGTTGGCCACACAGAAATATCTTCCAGAAGGAAGATGGACTTATCAGAAAGCATCCATGACAGTACACAGATTATGTAAAAATGGTTAATCAAGAGGAAATTCAGTTAAGAGTTGTTCATAGTCATAGTTATCCCACAGCCCCTGAAAATCTACATCCACTCTGCACAATGGATCTGAATGGAACAGTGAACAGCCTACAAACTGAGCAGTAAAACCTCGATCATGGCTGTCCTTAATTTCAAGTACACTGCTACCACAACCAATCAACTACTCCCCACAAAATAAAAAAAGGTCAACGTATGATCGACGTAGTGCAAGCATTCAAAACGCCGTAAGGGCACACAAGGCCTGATCGAACAGAACAGAGTGCAAGGGAGAAAACAACTCCCGCCCCGGCCCCAATCGCCCTTCCTACATAAACACCACATTTTGACGCTATATAAGCAGCCTGTACCGCGACCACACAAGCCAACAAGCAACCAACTAATCAAGGCCACTCCGCTCCACCCCCGCCTCGCCGATTGTGCGATCGGCAATCGAGCCACAAAAGGGGCCAGTAAACTGTAAACCCTACCCTAAGCCGTCGAAAGCGCCGCCGAACTAAATTGCAAACCGAAGGGGAAGGCGAAGGCGCATTGCGTAGCTCAGCGTACGTACCGATCTCCTCGGGGCTGGAGAAGGTGCGCTGCCCCGTGGGCTTGTGCTTGAACTTGCCTTTGGCCATGGACGCGGACTGCGGCGGGCGCGCGGCGGTGCCAAGCCCTTCCTTCGGCAGCTGCCTTGGTTCGTCGGCGTGTGGTGGCCTATTGGGTTTTCGCCGCGGGGGTTTTGGTTCGCTTTATTGCCTCTACTTGGCGACTGCCGAGGAGTTGGGAACCGAACCGACTCGGAAGCCACCACCTGCCCGGCTGCCTTGGCCGCTACGAATCCTGCAGTCACGCTGGTTCTCTCTTTGTGTCTCTGGTCGTAGTCGAGTCCGAGTTCGCGTTGTACCAGCGCGACACGTAGCTTTGACTGCTGAGAATTTAATTTTGACTTTATCTTTTCCGAACACTCGGATTTGCGAATTGATGAAGTTTATCGATATTCGACGAAGTTAACAGAGACTGTGCACCTGTTCTTTTTCAAGTGATTAAACTGCGGATTTCTCACAATTCATCGGGAACGCGATTGGTTAACGAAGAATTTAGCTTTTGGCGGAAGTTTTCTCAAACGAACAGCCCGAATGGTTTTGGTTTCCTTGCTTTGTTGTTTTGATTTCCGCACACAGCAGTTTTTCTTTGATGAAGTGAGCTAGCCAAATTGGCTCTCCGCAACGAGTGAGGTTAGGCTCGCCTGGCTGAGCAAGGTCTGTAAGGTTAGCTTCACATTCAAACATACCCTTATACTTTCAAATTCTAAGTGTATTTCTACTATTTGCGATTATTGTATCCTTAGAGAAGGTTAAGTGCATTTCTACTATTTGCGATTATTGTATCCTTAGACAAGGCTAAGTGTATTTCTGGCGTATTGTATCCCTAATCCCCATATATGATTATCATGCTTGATGTACTATTGTGTAAACTGGATAACGATTCTTGAAAGGTGAGATGATCAGGTGAGTGGGACTATTCTTCAGAAAATGGAATAGACAGGTGCGAGTCAAAGCAGGAGTTTATTCGCTTCGAGTTACAATTTCCTGCTCTTGGTGCTGCTTTGACTGGGGACTTTGGCAATGGTGTGGCGTAAGACCCAATCCAAGTTCACAGATTTCTCACATATATAAACAGGCACATAAAAAGAAACTGTCAAGAATATAGCCATCTCAATTCAAAACAAAAAAACGGCTCAAGAAACTTAGGACTCAAAAACCTAAGTACCTAACATACCCGAGCAGCAACTGCTACATCAGACTCTATTTTACATTCAGATTGGCAGCTTGGACACCAGGCTATATTTTACGAAGTTAATGCAAGTATACCTCTGTATTTCAAAACTCAAATACACCGGCCAGCCAGGCCCCCGTGCAGAAACCAATCAATTAGAATTTGGAAACACGAAGGACCCCGCTATTCAGCCCCATAACTTGGTTGATGATGTTAGAGTTTTTGCTTGACAAGTGCCATACAATGTATGAGCAGCTACATGATGCTGCATCTTCAAGTCCCATCGCTTGGGTTCCAAAAGAAGCTGCTTCCTTCGTCTGAGTATCCATGTGGAAGATGAGGTCCATAGACGACGTTTTCAGAATGTGGAAGATGAGGTCCATAGACGACGTTTTCAGAATGTGGAAGATGAGGTCCATAGACGACGTTTTCCAGAATGTGGAAGGTGAGGTCCATAAACAACGTTCCCATTCAGAAACGTCATTTGGTTCACCTGAGGCGTTGTTTGATAAGCATTTGGAGCATTAACTTGACTGGGGGTGCTAACATGTGGATGAATATTTGCATTGGTATCCTTCTGGTTAGCCTTTGGCTTGCTCCTAGCAGTCCTTTTGTTTTCCACAGGACTGTCTGCAGTCAACCTGCCCATTTGCTGCTGGATTTCATTCAGTGGACTACTAGACAGTTTTGACTTGGCACTCTTTTTGGAGTCAGAGGACTTGTACTCAAGACGGTACAAGGCAAGGGCATCAGATGCGTTGATCTCATACTCGAAAAGATGCCACTCATGGCTGCTTGATGGTTGTGGGTCCATGTAATAGGACCTCTTCAGACCTGCGAAATCTTTCATTACCTGCTTCCTTGATTCATGCCACCCACGACCACTGTAATCTGGCAATGACCTTTGCTTCCGGTTGCCACTCTCAAATGCTCTTCTTGGAGTGTCAAAGAACAGCCATTCTCTAAGAGATTCGCCCTCCAGAAGAGAAAGATCGAATAGTTCTGCAACAACAGCACAAAACAAAAGTTAGCAAAATAATTTGATACTATCAACATTAACCAGAATGCTAGCACTAATATAACAATACTTACCAGGTGCATTCCATGGCGATTTAGAAGTAGCAGCGCCTCCACACACAGGAATACCAACATTCTTTCCTTGGACTTTTGCAACGAGAGCAGCAAACAGTGGCCCATCTTTCAAATCAATACCTTTTGGACGCATCACAGGTCTTGTCCCAAGAAGACCATCATCATTCAAAGCCAAACCAGCATGGTAAGGGTTGCAGTAATCTCCAGAGTCCTCTGTCCCTCCAACTGGCCTACCACAGTCCCAAAGTGCACATTTTGGCCCCAAATACTGAGAGGGTGATGGCCATATTGTTGTAAGCAAGTCTGACATGTGAACAAAGACATCTCCAGTATTTTGCTCAGAGTTATTTGCATCAGCATATGAATGAGTAGGTGGCAGATCTAATGGCAAATCAAACTGTTGATGTTCCAACTGGCCAATCCCATGCAGGTTATTGAACTGATCTTCATTAGAACCAGAAATATTTATTTTGTAATCATCACCACCACAAAGAAAATCATCAATACTAAGTTCGTGGTCTATATAGTACATCTGCAAGCAAAGTAACACATGCTCATTAAAGCTATCAATAGAGATGGTAAAAGAAACATGATACACTACATGCACCAAAAAAAAAAATGGAATGGAATGAAACGTCTTGTTGTCGGCTAACCCAATCCCTGCCGGTTATTGTCCTCTGTTTCGTGTCTAGGTTCATAGTCATGTTTCAATCCTACAAGTAACATAAAGTGTACATATGCTTCTTTGTCACAAGGTACAGTTTAGAGCCCATGACAATTGAATTGAATCAGAAACTCAAAACTCTGAGACATGAGGCCTAAACTTGCAATTTTTTAAGAGTCTATCATTATTTTTGATTTACAACTAGCCTAAGTACACAATGTTATGACTTGTACTCTTCAGAAGTTTAACAAATATAGTAAAAAGGGCGTACCCAGTGCAGAGAGCTCCCGCTCTGTGCGGGGTCTGGGGAAGGGTGTCAGTGGCAAGCCTTACCCTTGCCTGTGCAATGCGAGGAGACTGCGACTCGAACCCGGGACCTTCCGGTCACAGGCGGTAAGACTCTACCGCTTGCACCAGGCCCGCCCTTCAAGTTTAACAAGTATAGTACTAGCACATTATTCTACATGCATCAACATATTTGTCTAGATGCTCAAGTACAGCACTCCATTATCTGACACTGTGAGTTGAAACAAGTCATCACTTGTGAATGAAGTTAGTTTATGGTGTTGATCTATACTGTGGTCTATAATCTGCAACAAAACAGCATAACAAGATGAAAGAAAATTAGTTAGTTCTTATGCAAAATTGTAATTTGGCAACATGATACTGTATCCAGTTGACATGTTTTTTATTGTGATGATATCATCAACATAGTAATTAAAAAAGACCATCCTACACGCGGTCTCCTCGCATTGCACAGGCGAGGGTAAGGCTTGCCACTGACACCCTTCCCCAGACCCCGACCCCGCACAGAGCGGGAGCTCTCTGCACTGGGTATGCCCTTTAAGCTCCTCCGCATTATCAATATGGAAAAAAAAGTACAGTTTCCAGCTCGATAATTGAAAAAAATACTACCTGATTATTGAACATTGCATTAGCAGCAGCAGCCACTTCTCCACAATCTCCCTCCACTCCCTGACCTAGAGAGTGCTGCGCAGGGGCAGCAGCGCCCCCATCCAAAGCTTCACACTTCTGATCAGTAATGGCCATCCTGCTGTCCTGCCCGTGCTCATGGCTCTGATGAGAAGGCGGTGCCTGCTGCGTCGATTGGGGCACCAGGAGCTTACTTGTGGCGTCGTCCTCCTCCTCGGGCACCACCAGCTGCAGCAGTCGCAGCGTATCCGACGGTGGATCCGAAGCCTCCCGGTTGTTCCCCTGCGAGTTCTGCGCCGCACCACAACTACCCGTTAGCACCAATCTACCGCGCACGAAAGGGGAACGGTTGGACGGCCGGAGAGCTAGGGTTCGGGGGACTTGCCTGAAGAGAGGAAGCCGGGGATGGGACGCTGAGCTCGGAACGCCACTCACGGAGCATCTGGTGGACCTGCTCCTCGAGGACGGCGGCGTCGGCGGAGCGGCTCTCCTTGCGAGCGGACTGGAGGCCGCAGAACATCTCCTGTAGGTCGTCCACGCGGACCTTGGCTCGGTCGCGGAACTGCCGGTGCCGCGTCGACGAGCGGGAACTCTTGCTCCCCGACGCGGGGTGGGCGTCACCGCCGCCCCCGGCTGCCGGATCTCCCGCCATCGCGCTGATCAAGGCGGCTCTGGTGGCGGGGCTGCGGTGGGCTGGGGACGGACGATTGACTCGATTCGCCCTTGCGAAAGCGGACGTTTTCTACTTTTCCCCTTCCTTTTCTTTTTTTTGTGTAAATATGTTATTAACGGAGTATTTTATTATATAACTACATACGCTTACCTATGTTTCGTTTCAGGAAATTGCGGGGAAGAAACACCACCCTTTTCTCTTTGCTTATTATATTAGTATGTAGCATGCCCGTTGCTACGGGATAACAAAATTTTTATAGTAAAAACACACGAATCGTATGATAAGATAACAATACTGTGAAATTAACTACCGACGTTAAATTGATATTTAGGTGGTGTTTAGATGCGAAATGGGTTGAAAACTTTCTACGAAATGTTTTCAAGGTAAAAACCCAATTCTGTAAAAAAAATTCAGACCCTGTTTAGATGTACCTGAAAACTTTTGAGCTGTAGCAAAAGATGACAGATTTATCCATAATAAATGATGCTTTTGGACCA